TTCTGGAATGAGTTGTCGACGTAGACTCCACCTGTTGCTTCACGGGGAACTCGATCAAATGCTTTTTCAAGGTCTCTAAAAATGTGTGATAGTTGTTGATGCTTTGCGAGGTACTTCTCTTGCAGTTGCCGAAGGATGTGAATTGCATCAATTGTTGATTTCCCCGCTAGGAAACCAAATTGATAATTTCCAATTGTGATGCACGACGTTAATCTTCTCTCAATGATTTTCTCGACAATTTTCAGGAAGTGTTCTAACAGACGTATACCCCGATGTGATGAACAGTTCAATGGATCACCTTTGATTTTGTATAGCGGAACTGTCATGCTATAGTTCCATTCAGTCTGCATTGAGCAATTTCTCCAGATTTCACGGCAAAGTTGTAGTAACGTTTGGATACCTGCAGTACCAGATGCTTTGATAATGTCATTTGTGAGTCCCGAGGGCCCTGCTGCCTTTCCATCCTTCATAGCTTTTAGAGCTTCTGTAAGCTCCTCTATAGTGATGTCTGGAATCGGACCTTCGATGGGTGGAGCGTCAAATTTAACATTGATGGGATTTGTTTCGTTTAACAGACGGTTGAAGTATTCTCTCCACTGTAGCTTGATCTCATCTTGTTCAAGAACCATCTCATTTTTGTCGTTTTTGATACATGAGGCACCAACTATGTCTTTATTCGTACGCTTTGCTTGTTTTGCTATACGATACAGAGATTTCATTTGTTCTCCTTTGCTTTTAGTTAGCCACTCTCTGCACTGATCTGTCCGAGCCAGTGCAACTTGACGTCTTGCATAGTTGTTCTTCTCACGGAAAATTTTATGGTCATCAACAGACTTTGATTTTTGCCATTGCTTGTACACTGTCATTCCACCACCAAGTGTCCCGTTCATGCTGGCGTTTTGTACCAGTTTTCCCACAAACTGTAGTTGCAGCGTTCATTAAAACGGTTTTGTATGTACTCCAATCTGTACTGGCTTGCGATTGGTGGTCTAACTGTGTGGCGACAATTTGTTGAAATTTTTCTCGATGAATATTGCTTTTCAGCTTCCACGTTTTGATTCTCCGAGGCATTTGTTTAGACTTGTGTTTTGACAGTTCGACAACCAGGTCTGCCACAAGGAGTCTATGTTGGGCGACACATGATTCACCAGGTATAATTTTGACGTTTTTGAATAGCCTTCGATGTTGTTGCTTGACAGCATCAACATTCCAAATTGGCCAAATTCCACATTTTTCAAATCCATTTACAGCTGATGCATGACTAGCAGCAAGCTTTGGCAAAATTCGAGGTTAACTGATACTCACTCACCACTCTACCAGGATGTTATCAAAGCCAAGATTGGATTTCAAAATCATAATATGTGGTCTGTGGCTTCATAAATTCAACATCAAGAGGTTGCATTTTTGTGAGTGCAATGTGGAGGAAGGCAGAGCATAAAACATAGTTTTTTTAGGTGAATCAATAGCTTCTACATTTTTAACATGAGAAGAATGTCCATCTAAAATTAATAAAATTGGATTAAACTGAGATGGTTTAACTTTATCAATAAAATGGGCTATCCTTTTTGTGAATAACTCCAACTGAATCCATCCTGTTTTGTGACATGCATAAATAGAACCAGGAGGTGCTCCATCCATTAACTCCATTTTCTTATGTTTAATAAACAAGCGGAACATAATCACCAGCTGCATTCATGCAGATTACAGTAGTCACCAGTCTACCCATTTCAGCTGATGTAAGACACCAACTTGTTTTTTTCCTTTAAGAGTAATTATTTTAGCATTTTTAGATTGCACAGTTGTACACCTTTTTCATCCATATTGAATATTTGAGCTGGTTCTAATTTTAGTCTTTTTATTTCATTCTCTAACAAATTAAAAAAAAGAATCAACATTATATTTGTTAAAAGATGCCCATGATGCAGATGTAGACTCAGGAGTCCGCAATGAAAGCTCTGGGTGTCCGAGAAGAAAAAATGTTAACCAACCATTTCCTGCTCTTTCAATTTCTGTATTGAATTGGTTTTCAATACCATCCATTTTGGCCAGCTGAAAAACAAGCCTCCTCACATCAGTAGTTCTTAAACCAAAAAATCTGGATTGCATTTCAATAATATATTTTACTAGATCAGCTTCAATGTGGGATGGTAAAGTTGGTTTTCTACCAAGAGAGACACCAACAACTTCAGATAATGAAGAACCTTCGTTATGTTTCATCTTTTGAACCTTGCGCGCTAATGTAGTCCGTGGAACATTAAATGTGTTGGCAGCTTTAAAATACCCCATTTCTTCATTAATGATAGCTATTACCCCACAACGCGAATCCCATTTTGCCCCAAAGTGGTGTGCTTGGTTAAAATTGCTTTTTTATTAATATATACTACGAATCATGTTTTATTTTTAGTAACGTAAACAATTAATGTTTGTTCATTAATAAGAAATTAAAAATAATAAAAAGACACTTATTTTTGAATAAAATGGAGGTTGTAAACAATAGTTCATTAATATAACAGAAATGAATAAAAATTAAAATTAATTACAATTATCGTGAAAAAAATTTAATTAAAAACATTGTTTACGGCGAAATTGGTCTTATAACTTATATCATGTTCGCGAAATATCAAATTTTAGATTGTACTTGCTATTTTTATAAAAGTGCACTATCTCATATTACCTGCTGTCTCATATTACCCCACTTTTCCCTATTGCTGAGTGACAAATCTTTAACCACTTATGGTGTAGGCTTTTATAGATCTCTGGTGGTATAGGATGAACACAAACTATAACGATGACCTATAAGATAAGATAACCAAGCGACGACTCCTAACCAGGGTGTCAGAGTCAGATGAAAAAATCAGACTCTTGATAAAAATCTCCGACTTCGGGTTTCGATTTTAAGAAAAATTTGTAAACTTTTGCCTCAAAATTTCTTTTTATTACCGCTTAAAATCAGTAAAAGTAATTGTTTCTTTTAGTAAAATTTTTTAATATTTTAAAACATACTGGAAAAAATTTTCAACTTCTGCATCATAATTTTAGCTTATTATCACTATTAAATAAAAAAATCTTTAGAAACTCTTAAAACCAGTCAATGTAATTGTTTTTATTATTAAAATTACTTTACTTTTGTTTTACAACATACTGAAAGAAAATTACGTGATTTCAATTTTCAAAATTAAAGATGATTGCTTATCACTATATATATATTTATCCTCTAAAAAAAGTTTTCATAAAAAATTATTTTTAAATAAATAACATTTTCGGAGTCAGATAAAATCCCTTAAAAATACGACTCCTGCCCCTTAAAAATTCCGACTCTGACCAAAATCTCCGACTCCGACACTCTGCTCCTAACAAAGAACGTAGATAAAGTGATTATCCTGTTTTATTTTTCTCTTTGACGTTAGTGACATGGCTACCATGGGACCGATGAAAGATATTACATAGACACCATTGATCTGCGGCGATCAATTTTTTCAAAAAGACGCCAGGGGTTGGCCAGGCTTCCATCCATGCAGCAAGCAGCACGAAATGACCTACGCATTAAACAATTTGATTTTAGTGGCCAGCAAAAGACTTGTCAATGCTATTTAACTAAAAACACAAAGTTATAATGACATAAATATATTGTTATAACTGGCCGGTCGACGACGAGTTCGTTTTATTTATCCCAGTGAAAATTAATCCTCGAAATCATAAAGTTGTTACTTTTTTTATTTTCTTTAAAGACAACCTCTGACAAACGCAGGGAATGGTACAATAAAAAAAATATTATAAAAATTTGAAGAGAAAAAAAAACAAACAAAAAAATTAATATAAAAAAATTTATTGTTACTGATATTTGTAGCTGGACAAAGTTCATTTCTGGGCAGCTTATTTAAAAAATCTGTCATTTTAACACATTTCTTTGCCACCTCCTCAATACTGGCTTCTTTAATCAGTTTTCGTCTAGCCGCTCCACTCAATTTACGTTTTACTTCACACGAAAGAAACCCCTCACGCTTGTCCATTTTAATTCAGAATTCTGATTTCAAAAAAATTAAATTTACCTACGTTGAAATAACATAAACAAATAAAAAGTTATGTTAAAATTGTCTCACCAATTGATTTTTCTTTCTTTTTGTGAATACTCGGAATACAATTTCCCAAAAAAAAATTTGCAATTTTTAAAACGTGAAAAGTTAAGTTTTTTAAAAAATTAAGTAAAAAACTTAAAAAATTTAAATTTTTTTTAAAATTTAATTTAGACTTTCGCCTTTTTTCCAAATTTTTCTGCATTCTTTTTTTTACAGATAAATAAAGGGGCGCCAATTTTAGCAAAAGACCGCGCGGGGAGCGACTTGCCGCCCCGGGCCTATAGTAGATCCGCTACTGGGCGACACGAAATAACTTTAAAACTATTGTTTTATTTACAAATCGATAATCAATGTTTATCAATTAATCGATAATTAACGTTAATTAATTTTACTAATAAAAATTAATATTCATAAACTATCAAATTAACGTTCAAAAACTATCGCTTTCCGATTAACGATTCACTAACGTTTATCGCAAGTACAAAAAAATACAATGCTGACTCAAATATCGTTTTCGACGCTTACAATAAGTCGCTTTCCGATATCAAATTCAACAACAACCATTCAATATCTTGCACGTCTTTATATACTCGTCTTACCGACGCTTCTCGAACGCCCTAGATATTTCGCTGTCAGAAAGTTCTAGTTCCTTTTCGAGCTGTATGCGTTCGTGGCGACACTAGCACCTCTAGCGAATATATTTGTGACGGTTATAACAATATTATTTAAAAGATTGAATTACTTTTAATGCATTTTATAAAAACATTAGACATTTAATTAATTTGGCAATGAACCTTTTCTTATCTAATTATTTTAATCATGCCGGTTCATTTAAAACATGTATTAAATTTTTATTTATCTAGCGGATATTCAATATGATGATAATATGATTTGAAGTCACTTAAAATACTTATTTTTTATCAGTCGTATATGGGATACAGCTTCTGGCCAGTGCTTAAAGACTTTGATTGGTTAGTGGTTTGAAGATTTACAGTTAGAAAGATGCTTTCGTTGGTTTGCAAAAAATTATTTTTCATTTATCAACTTACTAATTTCTGTGTCAAGAATAAATATCAAAATGTCGTCAGGAATAAAGCAAAACAAAGTAAATAAAGAGAAATTTTTATATTTGTGTCGGTCTGAGTAAATTTAAGAATGTTTTCGTTTTATAACGGATGTTTGTTTGATAGCCAGTGTTGTGCGTGCATGGATGATGACAACTTATGTTATCTGTTTGATAACATAAGTTGCAATACTTTTTTTGTCATACAACAAAATTATCAACTGCAGTTACGTGTAAGCACTGCTCATAGCAATCGTAGCCTCCCGTAAAGTATTTGAACTTGATGGCCAAATTGTGTATAAAATGATTTTATTTATAAATATTACAATTGCTGTAATAAAATATCAATATCTGAGAGACAAAAATTCCAATGACATCTTCCACTGCTTATATAACAAACTATGTCTACTGTTTTAATTGATGCTTTATTTTTCTGGTTTATAAATCTAACTAAGATTAAATTAACTGTAATGTTCTTGTTATTTGCTAGTTCCATTTTCGTACTTCTGTGATTATTGTTCTTATTTGCATATGCAAATCAGAAATTACTAACATCTTTATAAAGATGGATTTTCAACGTTTAATATATTATTATAAACACAGTTGATAATTTATATGTTTCTCGTTAAATTATTTAACAATAACAATAATGTTTTTAATTTATTAGATGATGATAACCCACCTGTCTCATTTGTCAAGTTTTCACCGAATGGTAAGTACATACTGGCTGCGACCCTTGACAAGTTAGTTTTTTTTCAAGGTATCATTTATTTCAATTTTTGTTAACAACTAAAAAAGTCGCGACAAAGTTTTTGATCTCATTGTTCTATCTAGAACTTGACTGTTTTCATCATCATTCCTGTTATCAGAATAAATACATTAAAAATGGACGCGCTTAGTATTTCCTTTTCTGAAGAGTCTGCTATTTGATTGTTTACCACTTTGGTCCAGGTCAGAAGCGTTGTCATCATCCATGCAATTTGATGTTATGGAGATGAGGTAGCTTCTTAGCTAAATAGTTTACAGATCTGTTAAGTGAGGAATGGATACTGTATAAAGAGATTCGAGACAAAACAGGGTAATGATTATACAGAATGGTAACAGGACAGAGACAGAACCGAAATTATAATTTTTATTATATCTGGGAATTTTTTTTTTAAAAAAGCAGAATCTTTAAACAGTTATAAAATTTTTAAAACAGCTCTCTGAAACTGTGGGATTACAGTAAAGGAAAGGTAGTATTTGTTAATATTTTGTATCAGTGATTTATATTTTAATTTAATTATTTGTTTCAACCATCTCCATAAGCTTCACTTTTAAACTCTAGATTTGTTATATAATGGTATAAGTTTCTCACAACGATATAATTGTTAGCATTTGAGAAATTAGAAGAAACTCATTTTTAAACTATAAACTTTAGATATTTTATATAAAGTTATAACATCTTTAAAAGAAACTCATTTTTTAAATTTTGGTTAAATATTTGATGTGTAAGAGAATGAGTGATTCTGTGATGCAAAATAATTCGATAACTTTGAGACCATGTAATCAGAGTGTTTTCAGTGTGTGAAATGCTTTTTATGATGATGTGGTTTCTATGAGATGCAATGTTGAATGTGGAGGGGGAATGTAATGCTTAATATTTTTAATTTGTTCGTGTGAATGATAGATGGGTGTTCTGAAGGTAATTTTCTTACGACTATTGTGTAGTTAGTTTGAATTATTTATTATTATTAAGTGACATTGCATTGTTTTGATCATGTTTTTAATGAGTCGAGTTCTGATTGGATGGTGATTGTGTTAGATGATATGATGATTCGGTAAATGTCGTCAGTGTATTTGTTGACTTTATTAGAATTATGGTGAGTTTTAAGAGTTGAGGCATTGATGATGAAATTTGAAGGTCCAAGGACAAGACCTTGTACTACAATAGATTAATAGATTAGGTTGATGAAAGCTGTGGACAGAAAAAAGTAGAATGACTCCTATTAGAAAAAAATGTATAATAGTATTGCAAATATTGTCCGCTAGAAGAAGAGAAGCTAAATTATTTGAGATAGAGAAATGATTCAGTGTTTCAAAAGCTTTAAAAAAGTCAAGAGCGATAAAATGAACATAATTATTATTTTTAAGAAAAAATGTTTTTATGGAGGGAAGGAGATGATGGCGGATGTAGATGAGCCTGTAGGGCGAAATGAGCATTGATCTTATAGTAGTGGTTTGATTAAAGGATGATTGAGATAGGTGGATCGATGAATGACCAGCAACGAATTTTTCTCGAATACGTGAAATTATAGGAGTGACTGAAATCGGGTGATAATTTGTTGGTGATGATGGATGTTTTGTTTTGTATTTTGCTAGATTTCCATTGTGATGGAATGAGTGTGAATGTGTTAAGCAGTGATTGATGTGCTGCAAATGAAGGATGCGATGATTTTAGAATCCATGATGGTAGGCTGTTTAGACCTGTACCAGATAGACCGGCCTTTGTGGAGATTTGCAGAAGGAAGGGTATTGCAGACTGTTGATGTCGATGATAGAATGATTTATAGAATATTGTAAAAATTATGGTCTATTACCGATATATATATATATATATATATATATATATATATATATATATAGATGTTTACGAAAAATTACAAAAAATCACCA